AATGCTTGTCCCTTTTTTGATAATAGCCAATTAACTGGAGTGAGATTATATTTTATTTAGGGTTTGATCACTTTTCCATATACCTATTGGCTATTTGTATGTCTTTCATTGAGAGATGTCTGTTTAGATCTTTCCATTTTTAAAATTAGATCTGTTTTTGACTATTGGTTGTTATATTAATCCTTGTCATATATATATAACTTGCAAGTATATGCTTTCATTTTTTTCAGTTGTCTCTTCACTCCATTGATGGTTTTCTTTGTTGTACAGAAACTCTTTAGTTTGATGCAGTCACATATGCTTTTGTTTCCTGTGCTTTTGGGAACTGATCCAAAAATTCCTTGCCCATTCCAAGGTCATAAAGAATTTCCCCTATGTTTTCTTCTAGTAGTTTCAGTTTCAGATCTAATGTTTACATTCTTAATCATTTTGAGTTGTATCAATCAATCTTACTGGTCAGATTATCCATGCTTAAGTTTGAGTAAGAATGATTGATGATCTTTTTTTGATTATTTCTTTAATTTTATAATTGTCTAAATTTTGAACTTGCTATTTTTGTACTTTATTGCAAGTGAACATGGATATTGGAGACAAAACTATTTAAATGCTATTACTGTATTGGTATATGATTATACATAATATAACATGGATATTTATGTTTGTATGTTATCTATCATTTCACATTGAGACCATGTAGAAACTTTTTCTGTGTTGTTATTTTAACTTTCATGGTAAGTGCTATGCTGTTATTTACCAATACCAGTATGACTTACCTTGGAATTTATTAAATCACCAGTTTGATTTGTTTATTCAACTAGTTTGTTTTCGTGGAAACCACAGCAGGAACAACATTATGGATAAAGGATGATTTTGACTTAGGCCATTGATTCTTCATGGTTTATTTGTTTATCCTGTCTTAAAATCATGTATTTAACACATAGCTAGTAAATATCTACTCTGCTAAACCTTACTGGTGATAAATAAGGAACACATTCTTCAGGCCCTTAGAGAGCTCTTTTGGCGCTGTAAAAGGTCCACTGGACATGCTTTATGTGCCTCCTCAGTTTCTCTTGGTCCTGAATGACTCCTGGATCTTGAGCAGCTTACATCAGCTGCTCACCTGGGCTTCTGCTGGCTGTCACTCTGTGCCCAGAAGCATCTCTTATGACTTCCAGGTTTGGATGGCATACTATATAGCAGAGCATGGAACTGGGCTTCTGAGGTAGCTTTTGAAGGTCTAGATATATTTCCTAATGGAATGTTTTGGTTCTGAAGTTTATTGTTTTAGAATAATTCTTTGGAGATATGGATAGGTAAAAAATGATGGGAAGGGGCCAGAATTGTGGCCTAACAGGTAAATCTACCACAGCATCCCATATGGGCACTGGTTTGAGTGTGTATGCTCCACTTCCTATCTGGCTCCCTGCTAAAATGATGACATGTGATGATAGATCATCTGTGAATCTAATGGAGATCCTCTGAAAGTGATCTGGCATTTCTCTCAAGCAAATTTTAGAATCTTTTATGTTTTAGTGTTGAAATTTTGACTACAATGTGTCGTGGTGAATATCTTTTCTGGTCATTTCTGTTAAGAGTTCTATGTGCTTCCTGAACTTTGATATTCCTTTCTTTCTCCAAATTATAGAAGTTTTTTTTTCTTGTAATTATTTTACTAAATGCGCCTCTAATCCACTCTCTCCCACACTTTCAGGAACTCCTAAAACCTGTATGTTGTGTTGTTTGATAGTATCCCATAAATCTCCAACACCAGTTTTAATTTTTCTAATTTCTTCTTCCTTTATTTTTGGTCTGACTGAAAAATTTCCAAACATTCTAGCTTGGATCCTTTCCTCTTCCTCACCAAGTCTGTTGTTAGGGCTTGCCGTTGTATTTTGTTATTTAACATATTGAATTGTTCATTTTTAATATTTCATTATGATTTCTCTTCAAAATCTCAATTTCATGGAAAATTTTTTCATTCATGTCATGTATGGATTTCTTTAATTAGTGAATTTGCTTCTGAGTATTTCTATGGTTAATCTTTTGAATTCCATTTCAGGCATTTCATCAATCTGTTCATATTCATATTCTAGTATTGAAGTATTGTGTGACTTTGGGAGCCATCATTTTGTCTTCCTTATTCTTTCTTGAATTTCTGCTTTTATAATTTTTAGGCATTTATGGAGGTACTTGTTGATTTTTTCTTCTGATGGCTTTATCTTTGGACTATGCCTCATGGCTTAGTGGAGTGTCTGCTCTTTCAGTGAATACCTAAAGGTATTTGCTGTGTATGGCCAGGGAGCTCTGGTCAGTGCTCCAGGGCGAGGCAAGTATCCAAGGTGACACCCAAGTTGTGCGTGGTAACTGAAAGTGGGGTATGGTCACCTCTTTTGGTATAATCATGCCCTTACTTCCTCTCTTCAAAGGTGATCCATGCTTGGATTTTAGCCCTTACTTGGTATAATGCTCATCCACGCTTTCTCCCCTCTGGTTGTTGGGTGGGTACAAGATTCTTTGCAGCTGGGACTTTTGTTGAAATGGCTTCTTTTCCCTGTCTGTTGCTAGGTGTGTGCATCTGAGCTGCTGCAGGTGCCTCTGCTCACAAGACGGCATCTGTGCCTGCCGGTTGCTGGGTATGCACACAAGAGCTGCCGCAGCTGCTGTCTAGTTATGTCCAAAATGGTGCCCGGCCTCTCTCAGCTGGTTGTCAGGTACTGTTGTAGGGGAGATGGGGAGAGAGAAACGTGCCCCCCCCCCCTTTTCTCCTGAGGTCTCTGGCCAGACTCAAAGACAGTGTAGTCCTTAGGCTCTCCCTCTGGCTATATCATCAGTGGCATGGGCTACTGCAGTCTGGTCTCACCTTGCTTTCCAAAACTGGTGCTTTCTCTGGCTGTGGGCTTCTGGGGTTGTGTGTTGTATCTGTGCTTGTTGTTGTGCGTTTGCACCTTCGACACAGATCCGCGGCATCTCTCCTCTTTCCACATAATCTCTACTGCAGTTTTCCCTGCAACTCTGCCCTGAGAATGTGCTCACTCCACTCCACTTGGGAAATCTTGCGCAGGTGATTTGAAAGGGTGCTCTGAGGTTTTTCCTCCAAGAAAATGAGGAAAGCCAGAGAGGGCAGAGGAAGAACTCAGACAAAGTATGGGTTCAGCTAAAGTCTGATCCAAGTCTGCGTCCATATAGAACACTGGGGCATAATTGGAACCACAGAGTTGCCACCCCATTAGGAAAAGAGACTGACCTTTTGCACTTCTGTATTAGTTACCCATTAGCTGAGGTCCATGTGTCAGTTGAGGAAAACTTTTCAGGTATATCAATGTTATATTCTCCCATGAACTAATGACAGTTCTCAGAAGAGGGCACTTGTGGGCCCTTGGTAGCCAATACTCCCATTAGCTAATTGAGGAGTGTTCATGTTTGTCAAAGTAGCCTGAGTAGCCATCCTAGGAAATTATTGTTTGAGGGCAACAGAACTCCATTAAATGGAAATTAAACTAGATTTTCACAATGAATATAGAGTATTAGGATAAAACACTACTTTGGGAATCAGGAGATCCCTGTTCTCTTGTGTGACCTTCAAGCATCTTGGGTTTCATAGTAATTTTTATAAAATTCATAATATGGTCATTAAGAGTCTCTTTCAGCTTCAGAATAACTTTGCATTATTCTCTCTTGCATTCAATTTTCTACTAATTAAAATAATCTATTTTCATTTATTACCCCTTATTTAATTCAGGCCAGGGCTGAACCAGGCCAAAGCCAGGAGCCAGGAGCTTCATCTGGATATCTCACATTGAAGGGCAACACTTGACCCATCTTCCAGTGCTTTTTCCAGGCCGTTAGCTGGGAGCTGGACTGGAAGTGGAGCAGTCAGGTCTTGAACCGGCATCCACAGCAGATGCCGGCATCTCAGGCAGCAGCTCAAGTTACTACACCACAATGCTGGCCGCTTTGTGACATTTTCCTTATGGATTCATCAGTTGTTTGTTTTCTGTCTTAGCTATTATGAACAGTGCTGCAATGAATGTGGGGCTGTAGATACTCTTTGAGATACTGATTTTGTTTCCTTTGGCTATATAACTAGTGGGAGGATTGCTGGATCATATGGTAGTTCTATTTTTTGAGTATTTTTTGAGAATCTTCCATACTGTTTTCCATTGTAACTATACCACTTACATTCTTACCAGCAGTGTACAAACATTCCCTTTGCCAAATTTATGTTTTGTCTGTTCAGTGATAGTCATCCTAGGTGATAACTTACTGGGGTTTTAATTTGTACTTCCTTTATGATTACTGATGTCAAATAGCTTTTAGTATACCTGTTAGCCATTTGTATGTCTTCTTTGCAAAGATGTCTATTCAGATTGTGCTATGTTTTAGATATTTTTTTTCTTTTTTTATTTTTAACTTTTATTTAATGAATATAAATTTCCAAAGTACAGCTTATGGAGTACAATGGCTTCCCCCCCATAATGTCCCTCCCACCCGCAACCCTCCCCTTTCCCGCTCCCTCTCCCCTTCCATTCACATCAAGATTCATTTTTGATTCTCTTTATATACAGAAGATCAGTTTAGCATACATTAAGTAAATATTTCAACAGTTTGCACCCACATAGAAACACAAAGTGAAAAATACTGTTTGAGTACTAGTTATAGCATTAAATCACAATGTACAGCACACTAAGGACAGAGATCCTACATGAGGAGTAAGTGCACAGTGACTCCTGTTGTTGACTTAACAAATTGACACTCTTGTTTATGGCCTCAGTAATCACCCTAGGCTCTTGTCATGAGCTGCCAAGGCTATGGAAGCCCCCTGAGTTCACCGACTCTGATCCTATTTAGACAAGGCCATGGTCAAAGTGGAAGTTCTCTCCTCCCTTCAGAGAAAGGTACCTCCTTCTTTGATGACTTGTTCTTTCCACTGGGATCTCACTCGCAGAGATCTTTCATTTAGGTGTTTTTTTTTTTTTTTTTTTTTTTTTTTTTTTCCCCAGAGTGTCTTGGCTTTCCATGCCTGAAATATAGATATGGTTTGAGTGAGGTATGGCCTGCGGGAAGTCCTTAGGATGCTGCCCTTGGAATGGATCAAGATGGCTGTCACGGGACCCCTGAGCTTTCGTGAGAGTGAGTTGTTATAAAGATGATGCTGATTTCTGAGTCACTGTCCGGCTTCTTACTGGGCAGTGTGATCTTTTCCTTTTGCATGAGTTCTGCCATCTACCATGAAATTCTAACCAGAACTGAGCTGATGGTGGAATCATGCCCGGAAATCTCTAGAACTGTGAACTAAATAAACCTCTTTTCTTTTTAAAGGTAGCCTGCCTTGGATAATTCATTGTAGTGATGAAAATTAGGTGAATGTAGGATGTTTGCCCATTTATTTATTTTTTTATATATTGAGTGGTATGAATTCCTTGTGCAGTTTGTATATATTGTTATCACACCCTTATCAGATATATAGTTTGCAGATATCTTCTCCAGTCTCATATGTTGCCTTTCATTTCTTTCATTTACTTGATTGTTTCCTTTGTAATGCAGGACTTTTTATCTTGGTTTTATTCCAGTCACTTATTTGTCCTTTTTTTCTGGTCTTTTTCTTTTTTGTTTTTGTGATTACAGTGTCATATTCTAAGAATAATTGCCTAGACCTAACACAGGGGATTTTCTCTTGTATTTTCTTTTAACACTTTTATAGCTTCAGATTTTATATTTAAGTCTTTAATCCATTTCAAGTTAATTTCTATGTGTGGTGTTAGATATGGGTCCAATTTCATTCCTTTTCATGTGTTTTTTTTTTTTTTTTGACAGGCAGAGTGGATAGTGAGAGAGAGAGACAGAGAGAAAGGTCTTCTTTTTGCCGTTGGTTCATCTCCCAATGGCTGCTGCGGCTGGTGTGCTGCGGCTGGCGCACTGTGCTGATCTGAATCCAGGAGCCAGATGCTTATCTTGGTCTCCCATGGGGTGCAGGGCCCAAGCACTTGGGCCATCCTCCACTGCACTCCCGGGCCACAGCAGAGACCTGGCCTGGAAAAGGGGCAACCAGGACAGAATCCGGTGCCCCGACTGGAACTAGCACCCGGTGTGCCGGTGCCACAGGTGGAGGATTAGCCTGTTGAGCCGTGGCGCCGGCCTCCTTTTCATGTGTTTTTATCATAAAATGCTTCCAAATACTCTTTTTAGTATAAATGTTCATATCGGAAGAACTCAGTAATCTTGATGGTGATACTCAGTTGGGGAGATGTCTTCATTACCGCTATTACTGTTTTGGCTTATAGAGGGGTGAACAGAATCTATTTCTACCCAATGTATCATCATGCAGTTCAGTTTACTTAAACCAGCCTATTTAGGAGGCACGTTCTTAAAATTTTCAAACTTCTCATATCTGTCTTCCTGTTAAAATTCTTTTCTAAATTAAAAATGAAATATTTTGTGCTCTTTTCCCATAGGGATTTTATACTGTCTGTATACACAAAGAAATTGAGTAAGGAGGAGCACTGGTGGCTTATGTCACTAGTCTATATTGATTTTTTTGAGATAACGTAATATGTATAGCATGCAGCCTGTGACTTATAACTTTATAAATACATGAGAATACAGAATCTCTGTTTGCTATGAATTTACATGATTTTGAATATTATTACCAGAAGGTAGCATATTTTGCATTGGTAACAACTATTAATTTTAAAAATCCATCCAGCATTTTTTCCCTGGAAATGGCAATCAATAACCCCACATCCTCCATTGAAAAAGTGGTATGTGAATCTAAGCTTGGCCATTCTTGACCTGTATACACTTGGTTTATTTTGTTTATTCTGAGCTTCTTTTTTTTGTTGTTTTTGTTTGTTTGTTTTTTGTTTGTTTGTTTGTTTGTTTGTTTTTTGACAGGCAGAGTGGACAGTGAGAGAGAGAGACAGAGAGAAAGGTCTTCCTTTGCTGTTGGTTCACCCTCCAATGGCCGCCACGGCCGGCGCGCTGTGGCCGTTGCACCGCGCTGATCTGATGGCAGGAGCCAGGTATTTCTCCTGGTCTCCCGTGGGGTGCAGGGCCCAAGCACTTGGGCCATCCTCCACTGCACTCCCTGGCCACAGCAGAGAGCTGGCCTGGAAGAGGGGCAACCGGGACAGAATCTGGCGCCCCGACCGGGACTAGAACCCGGTGTGCCGGCGCCACAAGGCGGAGGATTAGCCTAGTGAGCCGTGGCGCCGGCTCATATCATATAATGTAGCATAATTGTTAAAAGTGTGAGTTTTGGAGTGGAATTGTGTGATTTTGAATCCCAGTTTAGTCCATTATAAACTGTCTGGTCTTTGTAAAGTAATTTGACTTCTCTATACCTGAGTTTTATTGTCTATTTGATTGTGATCAGAAGGGAACCATCTTCATGGGTTCGTTGGGAGAGTTCGATATAATAATACATGTGAAGCATGTCTAGTACATAAGAAAGACCCAATAAAGGTTTGTTTTATCATTAATGCAATTTTTGGGATTGTATGAGAAAAATTACATTATAATGAAGGCTATTAGTGGTAGCTGTAAATGGTCAATGATGAAAAAGAGAAGGACTAAACTATTGAGACATTGGTGGACTACTGTCTGAGAAAGTACATGATGAGAAGATACATTGGAATGCAACTAACCTATTGATTTGGCATAATATTGCATTTTTAGACATGTGTGCCTTTGTCTTGAATATTTGTGTATGGGCAAAAAGACAGTGAAGCAGACAGAAAGCTTCCATGTTATTTATTCTGGTGCATAATTTCTATTATTGAGAGAATGGGACTAACTCAACAAACATTGTAATCTATTCAGTCACCTATGGGGACTATTATATTGTTTTGTGTCATTCAAGATAATAAAGCCATAAATTGACAAAGGATTAGAACTAGCACAAGGGCCAGAAAGATAATAGATTTTTTGAGTAATTTTTATAGGTAGTATTATTGCAACTGACTGAACTATAACCTACCAATATGTTGACCTTGTGGAATCCATTCTCTTGTCAGCAGAAAATTATGTGTTCAGAAGGTAGTTTATTATAAACACCTATTCAGTGATTTTCCAAGGGGATCTGGATCTGCAAATTAGCAGAGTATTTCCTTAATAAACCATAACCTGTATTTACTCATAATTACTTCCAATATGGAAAGGAGTAAAGGGAAAATTGCATATTCTGATTCATAATCTTACTGAAATTTTGTCAAAGCCTAATAAAATTTTAATTGTTCTAAGATTGTTTATATTTAAAATTTCAACATTAAATGTGTGTAGGGAAAGGTGATCTTTAAAATTTGGCTTGGGAGTGACATATAAACATAACAATATATAAGCTTTGAACTATAATCCACAGAGGACTTCTACACTAGAGACCAGTTTTGGACATGATCCAGTCTCTGTAGTAGGTCACTCGGGTATAGATACCAGGCTTGTTTGGAAGAGCACATTCATCTCCCCAGCTTACAACACCGGCAAGGAACCATATGCCTTTAGAATCTGCACTAACCAGGGGTCCACCAGAGTCACCCTAGAGAGAAAAAAGATATATATATATATAATCACTAAAGTTTAAAGGTGAATATTGCCCATTTTTCTCTTTTATAGTGAAGATAGGAAAAGACAGACAACCCTAGATATTTCAATATTAAAATGATTCTAGTCTAGAATATCTTTGTAGCCTATGAAAATTCATTTCAATCATATATAGTAATATAATAATGTCAAACATGTATGAAAAGTTTCAGTTATTATCCAAAGGAAGTATTTGAAGATATTATTACTATGGAATTGTTAGTATTCTGGGGAACTCTGATTATCTTCCCAAATTCTCCTGTTTGAAGATATTGGGAAAAACCAAACTGGACTATTGCTCTTCCACTCTTGTGTGAATATTACTCTGATTTTCAGAATTGTGTGATTTGGCTGTATCCCCTCTACATCTCTTATAATTTTTTTAAGGGAAAGAGTTTATTAGGGGAAACCTGACAGACTGGAGGGAAGGGGCGAAGGAGAAAAAGAGGGAGAAGGAGAGCATAAGAGAGAGATCCAGAGAGACATCAAGAGACAGAGAGACAGACAGAGATCAGGAGGTGGAGAGAAAGAGAGCCACATGTTCAGGAACACGTCCTTTAAAAACTTTGGTGGGGGGCTGGCAGGGAAGTAGGGGCATCGAATCTCATTAGGATGGGAGTGGGGCTGACACCAGTGGTTGGGCCATGTGGCCACCTGGCTTCCAGCAATGGTGGCAGGGGCTAGAGCCCAAGATGGTGTCAGTTATAGTTTTTAATATACTGATTTTTAGCTCATTTCCCCAGGATAATGGAGCACTTTAATACTGAATATTCCTTTTCTCTAATCCTTTTAATTACCCTGGATAATTTTAACATCTATTGGATGATACATCTAATACCTTAGCTGACAACCTCTTGGTTTTTTTGACTCTGACCATTCACATCTTAAATTCAATCTTACAGTGTTACTTCAGGTTACCTGGAAGTGTTCCACCCCTGAAAAACCATTTTTCAGCATTATGATAGCATTTACCAATCCCTTAACATTTTTTTTGTTTCACTTTTCACTCTGTACTTGCTCTTCAACCTCACTAAGAATGGCAGTTATTTGACTTCCTTCTTTTCTGTTAGTGTTTTAGCTCAAGTCTTCCTTCCTATCTTTCCTTATGTAGGCTGCATTATTCACCCTTACTAGCATCCTCAGCTCATTACCTTATGCCCCACCATAGCCTGGACCAAACCACTCAATGTGAAATAAAACCATATTGCAAATTTCCAGCCTCAGGCTAATTCCTCTCAGCAATATTTACAAATCTCTGGCCAACTTCTTTTCTCATTTTCCAGGGCAGCAATTTTAAACTTTTGTCATTTCATAATTGTATAAAACACAGATTCCTCACTCTGAAGCTAGTATATTACTTTCAGAATCTTGGAATAAGTGAGAGTTAAGAGGTGGCAATCCCTCCATTCCTTGTCTTGTATCTTTTGACTTCTCAGTTCACCCATATCAGTCTACAATTGTATCTGCTCTTCTCAAACAGATGGATATATTTTGTCTTAAAAAAACATGAATTATGATTGACAAATAAACATGTTTTTTAGATGTGTGATGTGATGTTTTGATATACAAATGCATTGTGAAATGATTCCCCCATGAAAATAATTAACCTATCTACCATCTCTCAGAATTACTATTTTATTTTTATTTTTTATATTTTTTATTTTTTAAATTTTTTTATTTTTTTGACAGGCAGAGTGGACAGTGAGAGAGAGAGACAGAGAGAAAGGTCTTCGTCTTCCTTTTGCTGTTGGTTCACCCTCCAATGGCCGCCGCGGCTGGCGCGCTGCGGCCAGCGCACCGCGCTGATCTGATGGCAGGAGTCAGGTACTTCTCCTGGTCTCCCATGGGGTGCAGGGCCCAAGCACTTGGGCCGTCCTCCACTGCACTCCCTGGCCACAGCAGAGGGCTGGCCTGGAAGAGGGGCAACCGGGACAGAATCCGGCGCCCTGACCGGGACTAGAACCCGGTGTGTTGGCGCCGCAAGACGGAGGATTAGCCTAGTGAGCTGCAGCGCCGGCCTTATTTTTATTTTTTGGAGAAAGTACTGAATATCTACTCTCTTAGCAAATTTCAAGTAGACATGTCAGTATGGTCACCAAGCTATACTTTAGAACTCTTAGTCAAAGGGTATAAATTTTCAGTTAAAAAATTAGCAAGTTCTAATATCTCTCCATATTCCTCTGACTCCCAGCTCCAGGAATATGTTTTGATGAGTTTGATTTTTTAGATTTTACATATCAGTGAGAACATTTAGTATTTTTTTTGCTATGTCTGACTTATTTTACTTAGCATAATGTCCTCTAGGTTCATCATGTTATCACAAATAGCAGGATTTCCTTCTTTTTTTCTGACTTGAATAATACTCCATATACATATATATGTGAGAGTATATGTGTATGTAGTGACATGTGTAATATATTACACATGTGATATATATCATATAAAGTGATTTAAGAAAATGTGATATATATACACACATACATATATATCACTTTATATACTCATTCATCTATTGATGAAGTTAGGCTGTTTTCATATCTTGGCTAATGTGAATTTGCCAATATGTTTATATGAATCTGGGGCTACAGATACCTCTTTGAGATACTGATTCGATTTCCTTTGAATGTATATTCAGAAGTAGGAGTGCTGCATCCTATGTTGGCTCTATTTTTATTTTTCTGAGGAACTCCATTCTGTTTTCCATAGTTGCTTTACCAATTACCTCCCAACAAACAGTGTACAAATGTTTTCTTTTCTTGACACCCTCATCAACACTTATTACCTACTTTGATAATGGTATCTACTATGCATTAGGGTTATATTTCATTGTGGTTCTAATTTGCACTTCTGTGATGATTAATGATGTTGAATACTTTTTTGTTTATCTTTTGGCCCTTTATATGTATTCTTTGGGAAAACATCTGTTTAGGCCATTGGCTCACTTTTAATTCATGTTATTGGTTTTTCTGGTATTGTATGAATTTCTGATTTCCTTAAAGGATTGAAAGGAAGAGATTTTACAATGTTAGCAAAGTGTGTGAAAGAGTCATCAGAGTAGAACAGTTTGGAAAATGTGGAAGAAAGCTTAAGTTAGTGGAAAGTTCAAATACCTGTATAGGAGAAGGAGATTGGGTAAAGAACACAGATAAGAGATTAGCCTTCAATAGTAGAAACAGCTTATTTATTGTAAATTGAGAGTAGAAGAATAAATACAAACATAAATGTATCAGGTAGAAAGGAAAGGAAAGGAGTTCTCATGTGATTGTGTTTATTTTTTTGGTCTGTGGGAGGAATTTTCATATGCTTAGGAAGATAAGAACATGGTGGAATTGGTAGGTTCTGAGTACAATTAAAGTTTGAAGAGCACTATCAACTATTTCTGCTAAAAACCTGTACAGTGTATTAAGGACCCACCTATTATTTTATGACTCCAGTTTACATGAAGATGAGATTTCTTTTTTTTTTTAAACTTCGGTTTTTTGTTGTTGTTGTTGTTTGTTTTATTTATTTGACAGGTAGAGTTATAGACAGTGAGAGAGGGAGACAGAGAGAAAGGTCTTTCCTCTGTTCACTCCCCAAATGGCCACTACAGCCGGCGCTGTGTGGATCCAAAGCCAGGAGCCAGAGCTTCTTACTGGTCTCCCATGCGGGTGCAGGGGCCCAAGCACCCAGGCCATCCTCCACTGCCCTCCCGGGCCACAGCAGAGAGCTGGACTGGAAGAGGGCAGCCTGGACTAGAACCCAGTGCCCATACTGGATGCTGCACCGCAGGCGGAGGATTAACCAAGTGAGCCACGGCGCCAGCCCCGAAGGTGAAATTTCTTTTAGCTGTGTCCAGAACCTCACACATAAGAAGAAATAAGGCTGATTGATTGCTCTGTGATTGAAGATTATTATGATGAGTGTGGGGGAAAGTAGAAGATAAGTCATTGAAGGTACTATAATGAAATGATTATTGAGATTTAATGTTATAACGAGTACCCAAACAATATATTTCACTTTGTGTTTCTATGGGGGTGCAAACTGTTAAACTGTTGAAATCTTTACTTAATGTATACTAAACTGATCCTCTGTAAAAAAAAAAAAAAAAGAAAAAAAAAGAAATTATCAACTCCCAACTTGACTATCACTGGGATTAAACATGACAATAGGTCTGATCTGATTTCATCATCATTTAAAAAAAATCATCTATTATTTTTCACTTTATGTTTCTGTGTGGGAGCAAACTGTTGAAATCCTTACTTAATGTATACTAAGCTGATCTTCTGTATATTAAGATAATCGAAAATGAATCTTGATGTGAATGGGAGGGGAGAGGGAGTGGGAAAGGGGAGGGTAGTGGGTGGGAGGGACGGTATGTGGGGGAAGCCATTGTACTCCATAAGCTGTACTTTGGAAATTTATATTCATTAAATAAAAGTTAAAAAAAATAATAATAAATAATAAGAATAAATGTGGCTTTTAGATTGTATGTGGTTATGAGCCATGAGGCTGGGGGTGATGAGACTGAGAGAAAACTGAGAAGAACAGGGATTTAAGCTCCCCATGACATCAAAGAAAAAAGTTTAGTGAAAGAGTTAGAAATTTGTAATTAAGATAAAATATGTAGGGGCCAGCACTGTGGCATAGCATGTTGAGCCACTGTCTGTGGTGCCAGTACCCCATATGGCTGTCAGTTTGAGTTTTGGCTGCTCTACTTCTGATCCAGTTCTCTGCTATGGCCTGGGAAAGCAGAGACTGACTTTTACAGCAAAATGGCTGGAATTGAAGATCATCATGCTAAGTGAAGTAAGCCAGACACAGAAAGATGAATTCCACATGTTTGAAATAAATAAATATATAGAGTATAAAAATTGTGTGAATGTCATATTTTTGGTATATTAAATAGTTGTAAATATTCTTTCCTCATTTTATGATCATTGTCATGAATCCCACATTATGTGCTATTAATATCCCTGCTTTCAAGAAAAATCATCTATCATATAGATATGAAGTAAATATAGAAAAAATGCTAACATTGTTAAATCAAATTTAAAAATGCTTCCAGGAACACAAAGAAAAAAATATCAGTATAATTTTAATTAAATACTTTGGCTGTTAAGTATTTTTTTTTTAATTTTTTTATTTGAGAGGTAGAATTACAGACAGAGAGAGGGAGAAATGGAGGAAAAGGTCTTCTATACACTGGTTCATTCCCCAAATGGCTGCAGTGGAGAGCTGAGCCAGTCCAAAGCCAAGAGTCTCCTCTGGGTCTCCTATGTGGGTGCAGGGGCCCAGACACTTGGCAATACTCCACTGCCTTCCCAGCCCAGAAGCAGATAGCTAGATTAGAAGAGTAGCATCCCGTATGGGTTGCTGGCATCACAGTCAGAGGCTTAACCTTTTATGCCATAGTGCCAACTCCATATTAAGGATATTTATGATTTTAAAAAATTTCCATCCCTTGAAAAAACAGAATTGGTTAATTGGAAATTTAAAATTACAAGGAAAGGGCTGGCATTGTGGGACAGTGGGTTAAACTGCCATTTGCAATGCCTGCATTCCATGTGGGAGTGCCAATTTGAATCTTGGCTGCTCTGCTTCTAATCCAACTCCCTACCAGGAAAGCAGTGAAGATGGCCCAAGTTCTTGGGCCCATGCCACCCAAGTGGGAAACCCAGATAGGGCTCTGGACTCCTGGCTTTGGCCTGGCCCAGCCTTGGCTGTTGCAGTCATTTGGGGAGTGTACCAGTGTATGGAAGTGTCTCTCTCTCTCTCCCTCCGTCCCTCCCTCCCTCTCTCTCTCTCTCTCTCTCTGCCCCGCCCTGTGTATGTGTGTCAGTCTGTGGAAAAATTATAAGGGAAAGAAGCTTCTTGAAAATGAACTAGTAGCTTACCTGGCAGGCATCCACACGTCCCTCTGGGAACCCCGCACACAACATTCCAGATGTGATGACTCCAGCATATGCCTTTGGACTGTTGCACATCTCATTATCTATAATCTTTATTAATCCTTTTTGGAGTATATTAGGACTTTCCCCTAAAGGAGGAAACATTTACAGTTTTGTTAAGTTATTATTAATCTCTCTTGTATATAACTTTACCACTACGTACAACTTCTAAATCAATGTAAAACAAGTTTTAATTAAGGTTTTGTCACCTTTCTCAGTAACCAAGGAGCAACTAATGTTTATGAACATTACTTACGAATATTGTATTTAACTAGTACTAAAATATTCATACAAATATTTAGAAATACTTAAAAAGTACATCCATGTGTGATGGGATTTTTTACTTTTGAATTATTATAAAATATTGTATTTATTACATGTGTGTCCTAGAAAGCAAAATTTAAAATTCATGTCTTGAACCATACATTGTATTCTTATTTTTAGTTGAATTTGTTATTGTCATACTAATTTTTTTTTTGACAGGCAGAGTTAGCCCTGAGGTAGGCATTTGACCTGGTCATTAAGACTCCAGCATACCGTATGGGAGTGCCTGTGTTTGAGTCTTGACTCCAGCTCTTGATTAAAGCTTCATGTCAATGTGCACTTTGGGAGGCTGAAAATGACAGCTCAAATACTTGGGTTCCTGTCACCTACATGGGAGACCTGGTTGGAGTTCCTGGCTCCTGACTTCAGCCTCTCTCGGTCTTAGCCATATTGGCATTTGGGGAATGAACTAGCAGATAGCAGCTCTCTCTTCTGTCTCTGTCTCTGTCTCTGTCTCTCCCTCTTTGTCAGTTTTTCTGACTCTCAATCACTCAGTCAATCAAAATGGTTAATCCTATGTATTTTTTTCTAATTGTCCCTATTTTTCTATGACACGTGCGTAAAACATGCTTTATAATTTAGTTATTTCTTATATTTTGTGATTATGGTCTGTTTTCCCTTACTAAGAAAGCAAGCCTCCCTGCTTTTTGCTAAGAAAATAAACAGGGATATTTATTTTACCCATTAATGTATCCAAACCATCTAGAATAGTATGTGGTACAAATTTGGTGATCAAAATAAATGTTTGTTAATTGGATAAATAAATAAAATAGAGGCAATTGAATTAAATAATGCATTTCTGTAAAAATGCCATTTTGTGGGAACTTGTGGTAAATAGTTCTATGAAGTTGTATTGTCTTGTGAATGTTAGGATGCTTTTCAATTATGCTCTTTAAAATGTTCTAAATAAAGTGTTTCTTAGGTTTAGTTGTAATTTTGAGTACTTTTCTCTTTAATTCCGAAAACTCCAACCATGTGATAGAGGGAGATTAGCAACTCACCATCAGACTTTAATGTTCCCCATCCTGTGACTACCACTTTTGAATTGTTTGGGAATTTATAAGTAGCTTCTGGAAGACATGCTCTTCGGATCTTACTTGTATATAATACCGGTGAAGACAGATGCACAACAGCAATGTCGTTGTCGTGTGCTGGGTAGTGGTAGTTTTCATGGATTATAATATCCTTGACAGTTCGCTGTATTTGTGGATCACTTAAGAGAAGCCCAAAGCTTACAGTCCATTCTTTGGGGTCATTGGTCCTAAAAAAAAGTAGGTGTATCAGTAAAAAGTCCTGTACATTGGAGTTACAGGCATTTATATCTAAAACTTTGCAAAAATAATTATTTATGTTTTGAATGTCCATAGTGCTTAAAACATACAAAAATGAAGCTGTGTGTAAGAGAAAAAATAAAAATAACGATAAAATGAACAGACTTTAAATTACCAATAAACTATTTTTTAACAGCTAATCCTTAGAAATGCCATTGTAGTTCTTGTTTTATATGGAAGAGAATTAAGGAGATTAGGAAGGCAAGTAAGACAACATAAGATAATAAAATTAAATAAAAGCTGGACGAAGATATGGAACAGAATGAATTGATGGAAATAAAGGAGATAGTTTAAGTCCTTTTTTGAATTTTTGATTTTAATTTTTACTTGCCAATCAAGGATTTACATGTTAAATACTGAGAAATAGTTCTCTTGGGGCGTTTTCAAACTTTTTTACTAAAGACATGATAAACAAGTAAACATGATTTGGAGGGTGCCAATTGAGTTTGAGAGGAATTTTTTTAAAAAAATTCAATAAACTCCACAGAAAACCAATGGAAGTTAATGAAAAGAACTATCAAACAAAAGTGTAAAAATCTTTTAGGTAAACAAGGACCAACTTTGGGCACAACAACATATCTTTTAAGAAAATCGTCATTTTAAGTAGAGCTGTGCATATATGGGAGGATGCTGAGTAAATTCAAATACTTATGACTAAATGTAATAATGATGAGAAAGAAATAGGAGACTCATTCAATTTTGGCTTTAATTTCTTCAGAAAACTGATGGAACTCTACCCTAGCAGTTCTCAACTGGGAACAGCTTTGTCACCTGCATTTGGCAATGTCTGGTGACATTTTCGTTTTCAATACCGAGGGATGCTGCTGGTCGGTAAGGGCAGGGCTGCTGCTGCATATTCTACAAGGCACAAGACAGCTTTCTGTAACAAAGAATTAGTTTCTGTGTCTTTTTTTATTTGACAGAGTTAGTGTGAGAGAGAGAGAGACAGAGAGAAAGGTGTTCCTTCTGTTGGTTCACCCCTAAATGGCCGCTACGGCCGGCGCTGCGCCAATCTGAAGCCAGGAGCCAGGTGCTTTCTCCTGGTCTCCCATGCAAGTGCAGGGACCAAGCACTTGGGCCATCCTCCACTGCCTTCCCGGGCCACAGCAGAGAGCTGGACTGGAAGAGGAGCAGCTGGGATTAGAACCCGGAGCCCATATGGGATGCTGGTGCCACAGGCGGAGGATTAGCCAAGTGAGCCACGGCACCGGCCCCAGTTTCTGTGTCTTTAGTGCCACACAAACTCTGCCCTAGTTTGCCCATATCTGTTATGTTACTTATGAATCATTGAGCAATTCTGAGGCTATATTTCTTAATGTTGGACAGTTGGAGACACAGTTGTATGGCCATTGTGTCAAAAGACATTATCAGACTTCAGGTACTTAAGTGGCTTTGAGGCCTTCACCTGGGCCAGAGCTTACGTTACAAAGCAGTGAGCAGCAGTCACAAGCCAGTTGTTGCTAATCAGAGTGGCTCCGCATCGGTGGACTTGGTTCTGCTGAAGGCTAGCTTGCCAGGGCCATTCCCCTTCCTCAGCATTCAGGCCTCCTGCAATTTTGTTGCCAGAGGGAGTTATTGTGCGTTGTCCACAGCCTGCTCAAAGTAGAGTTGTATTAGTACTGAAGAAGATTACTAACGCACATTATTACAGTGGGTGAATAATACATTTTTCTATTAACTGAGGGAAATTCACAATCCTACAGTAGTTAGAATGGACTTAACTGCCGACTTGAGATTTCCTCTCCTATCCCCCTTGCTTACATAGACTCCTTGTGACCTGAAGTAAGAACTAGGTGGAAGTAAATGCTTGAATTTAGAAGACAATAATTATATGATAAGTAAGTTGCACAAGGAAGTATATGCTTTTTATGGGCAACTGTTTAATGGGCAATTGTTGTCGGGCACTGAGTCCTATGAAAAACATCATAGGAACGTGAGAATGATTATGAATGTAAATGAGATATTGAGGAGACAGAGTGCATAGATAGAGTCACACTCAGGACACAACACACAACACTTGAGGAAAAGGAATAACAGGTGGTCTCCAAAGTTCTGTGCCTCTCTGCATCAGTATTGTGCTTTGGTGGTTATTTAGTTGCAGAGAAACAGCTAGAATCTTAAGTTTTTAAAGTAAATCTGTAGTAATAGTACAATGTAACTAGAATTTTGTCTGGCTGACTTTCCTTTGCAGACTCTCTTGACTGTTTTAACTTTGTTCCAACTGAAGTACTGAGCTTGTCTCTTACATATATGATATCTTTAATGGAGACTGTTGTTTCATTAATATATAGTTTTAGAGAAGAGGAACCATATATTTTTTTTCTTAAAAAATGTATCTCCACCATGGAGAGTCTTCTACATGAAGCTCAACAAATGTTTGTGAAAAAAAGTCTATACTGTATAGTCAAGAGGCATCATAAAATAAAAATGGTATTTGATTGCAAAAATCACTTTTCTGTGAGTATGCTAAAAAAACTGGAGAGTGAATAATTTGCCAAAATCAATGCAGGAGGCATAGATTAAAATGGTGGCTTTCAGTAAGAGACAGTTTTGCACACTGCCTCTCTGGGAGAAACTTGGCAATGCCTGGAGACATTTTGAATTGTCACATTTGGAGGAGGAGTAGGCTACTGGTATCCAGTGGATATAGACTAGGGATGCTGCTAACTATCCTGTAACACAAAGAATATCCTCTAAAACAAAGAATTATTTGGCTCCACCTGGCAATAATATTGAAGTTAAGAAATAATTTGGGAAAGTGAGATGGTCAATTGCTTCAGAGATGCTAATTTATGTCACTGGGTGTACTTTGAAATATTCTTTCCTGAGACTGAAAAGGCACTAAAAGCCAGTGGAGAGTCATGTAGACCTTTTTCGAGGCCTTCACTGGTCCTCTGAAGTCCTTTAGCTTGCATATTGCTTCTGATTCTGGGTTATTTTGTTGTGCAATTGAAACCTCAGACTGTTAAGGCATCCTCTTTATAAAAATCATTTAGCTGAATGGGCACTTTTGTGACTGCGGTTTCTCAGTGGGAGCTCTCACAGGGACTTCTTGAATGTACTCTTTGCTTTCCCTTTTTATTTTCACTTTTTTATGATGGACACTATGTAGGATAAAACACGTAATCTAGGACACAGAGGCAGCTCTCAGTCCCTTCTGTTTGGATAACTTAAAGGAAGTTGGCTTTTACTCAACTTCATTCAGAGGAATGTAAAAACAGACACTTCTCTGTGGGTTAGGAGAACCTCACCTAAGTATCTCTACTTCCCTGTTTCTGCTGTTATTCAGAATTCCAATATAATTTATATCTGCCCATCAACACCATTCTAAGTTCTCACTTGCTTGTGACTGTTTTGCCTGTTAATCTTTCAGACATCATCTCTGTAATGTTATTACCACACTGCCAAAGTCTTACCTGGCACCTTATAGCTTCGTTACATCAAAAGAAATCATACAGCACATTTCAGGGATTTGAAACTATAATGAAGATTTGTGGCTGATAGTTTTGGAATGTCAGCAAATCTTACAACCTTACTGTCCTTCTAACTTCTACTCCATTGTCTGTTAATGCATTTTACACTTGATCTTAGCCAGAAGGCTAAGAAGCAATATGTTAATGCATTTTAATACACTCTGTCACATTCCAAAGCTCTCTTTCTTTAACCCTCTTTGATTTTTCTTGCTTACCCTTCCTCTTTAAAAAACTGATCAAAATTTTAGATAGGCCAAGTTAAATTTAGAATAATGATTTGGATGGTTGTCTAGTATTATCATTGGAAGGGTAGAGAAATTAGCCAATCTCTTTCTTACCACTCCTGTATTCCTGTCTTGATTGTCTCCCCTGAACCTGATAGATTCCCAGTTGTGGATTTTGATCTTATTGGTATTAAGTCTTTCATTGGAATGATTGGATTTAGATGTTTTATTAATTGCATGAGGATTGTTGAATCAAAATCTATGAGAAAGAAAAATAATCAAATATTGTTCTGCATGTGTATTTGGGCCAGGTTTTTCAGAAATAACTGTGCTATGACTAGGGGAGACACCTGGTTCTGGTGTGTGATTCTTGAATCCAGCTGCCCCTTTCAGTCTCAGTTCCCAGGTAAAAGCAGGGCATCTTCTGATACCCTGCTCCAGGTTTCAGTGACCCTGGAGATCACATTTCCTAGGGCAGGTGTTGGGAGAATAGAAGCAGAATGCCTTGGCCAGTAATAAAGAAGCTGCTTGTATCCAAGGCAGATTACTTTTCTGCACAATAGACTTGGTTTGGCTTTTAAGATCAGAATTCTGCAATGAATTCCTATTCCTGGAGTTTCCATGAACAACATAGAAAATACAAATAGTTAACATTTATTGTGTGCCTATTATGAGCCATGCAGTCTTTTAAATGCTTTACTTGTATTGCCTTATTTTATTTTCACAACACTTGGACCTGAGGCTTTGAAACGTTAAATAACTTATATGTAAATTCATCCAGCTATTTAAGTGGTAGATGCGAGACTCAAAACACATGAGAATAATTTTGGATTCTAAGTTTTAGTTGTTACTTCTGTCTCCCGATCCTCTCTGCCATGTGATAATGTGTGCCTCATTTAAAAGCCGTAACATCAGTCAATTTGAGACCAAGTACAGTGTCCTTCATGCAAGTTTCTAAAAGCAGGCTTCCTACTATACCTTTCTTGATACCACACTAACTCTCAAGTGGAAATCTTTTCTGGCATCTAAAGAATTAAGTTTTACTAGATAAGTAGCTCTTAGTTGATAAACTTACAAGTATTGAGAAGATTTTCTGCCACCGGCATTGAAATATCTACAAGTAAAAGAGAGAAAATGGAAAATTTACATTTATGAATACATTTATTTTAATGTTAGTATTATTTTGTTTTGGGAAATACATTATTGTGTATACATAATCATCTTATTCAAATTAAAAAAAGATTTTATTAATTTATTTGAAAGGGAGAGAGAGGAAATAGAGAGAGAGGAAGAGAAAGAGAGAGGATCTTCCTTCTGATGGTTGGCTCCCCAAATGGCCACAAACAGCAAAAGCTGGGTCAGGTTGAAACCAAGAGCCAGGAACTCCATCTGGGTCTCACACATGAGTGGCAATGACTGAAGTACTTGAGCTGTATCTGCTGCTTTCCATGCACATCAGAAGGGAGTTGCATCAGAAGCAGAGTAGCTGCAAGTGGAACTGACCCTCCCATATGGAATCAGGAGTTACAAGTGGAGGCTTAACCTGCTGTGCCACAATACCTGCCCCAACTTACTCAATCTTGATGGTATGTTTCTTTGCTCATATATTAGCACAGAGGGTAATAAAATTTTTTGTATTCATTCTTTTTTCTAAAGATTATGTCAAATTCCTCATCATTAGTTATAATATAATATATAATATTTGTTAAGGTATATATATATAGTTATATTTTGTAGTTGAATTCCTATTCCTGGAATTATATATATAATTATATATATATATATATATATATATCTTAACAAATATTCTAATAACCAGGAGAGAGTAAGACATTACTAGATTTAAGTGATTTTTTGTGTGTGTTGAATGCATTCTACTATATTTTACTCTTTTTAAAATAGATACCATTTGTGTTGTAAGTTTCAATTACTGGGAACATTTAGTTAAGGATGCCATCCCATTCTTATTTCTTCTGTCAAAAATAATTTAATTCTGCAATGAAGCAGAGATTTAACATTGTCTGCTAATCTCTGGATAGACAAATCATTTCAGATGATGTTACAAAATGAACTTATTTCCTCCATAGCATTTGGGTATGGACCCTACATCCCTGAGGAATTGCAAACCTGTTTAGTTCATATGGGAAATGTATGAGGAGAGTGTGCATAAATGAGTTCCAGATTTCACATGCTGAGAATGATAGACCTAGTAGTTCTTTATACTTAACAATTCCTCTTTTAAAAGGAATTATCAGATTCTGTAAGAATTAAATACTATAAATGTCAAGGCAGGTTCATTTTCATTATGCTCTTAGATTTCTATTAAAAATGGTGAAGGGGAATCAGTTTTACCTACATGCCAACTACAATTACACATTCTTACATTAAGTTGCACAACAAAACAGGGAAACAAAAGGCTCCTTTAAGCAGAAAGACAACCTGTCTGAACAGAAAGGAAGGAGCAATTGAACTGTCAGGTGGCTCTGAGAAGAGATGAACCACACCTATTTAAAAAGAAAGTCAGCATAGTTCCATCACACCCTCATAACTGCCTTCCAGAGGTTATTAGTTTTATTTGACATGATACCTCTACAGTTCAGTTTTGAGTTGAGTGCATGGTAAAAATACGTTAACTCATATTAAGATTTTTGGAAATATCTAAATTTTTTACAAACCTATTCTGTGACCCCTACAAAACAGTCTTTTCTGCTTTAACTGGCTGCCTCCTTGCCTTCTACGAATGCTAAAAAAGGAAAAAAAACCTAACAGCGCATAGGGGAATTTAATGAGAAATATTCTTTTGAGTGTGAGGATAAATTGCTCTTAAGATGCTTGCACAGTATTCAAGAGAAGAATCTGCAGAGACTCATCTGAGGATTGTCACAAACAGAGCTGTTAATCTTGTACATTAGGTCTATTTGTCTTGTGTAATGGGCACATAGGGGCTTTTTTGTCTTAGCCATCTGGGGCAACATCTTAACCCATACTTTCCTTTTTGTATCTATTCCCAGAAATGCCCTTTCTAAAATTAATCAGTAGCCTTCTTTTCAGCATATCCTGTCTCTGAAGATGTTTATAACCAATTATGTTATGAAAACAGTAGCCAACAACCTGGGAGAAATTTGCTCTCACTTACATAAGTCCACTTTGCAGGACAAGCCAATATATGTTCACTGTGTAATGATAAATAAAATCTTCTGTTATGGAGTGCATAGATTCTGACTAAAATTTGATTACTTTGGAAACTTTCCAAGACTCTTCAAAAGTCACTGGGTTTGTGTCTCCTGAGCCCACGTCATTCATTTTCTGTCCTGAATAAACCTTATGTTAACCTACCTATAAAACAGAGGCTGATTATTTTCATCAATAGGAGGGAGTAAGAATTACTAGGGGCAAAATAGGCAAAATGCACTGTTGAACATTAGATTAGAAGTAATGCTTAGATGCTCTCTAAATGAATTGTGCTTGGTCTGTAATCACTCATGCTTGTCAATTTTGGATACACTGGTAAGAAGAACTTCCCCAAAACTTTGATTTCCATATACTATTTTTTCCTTAAAAAAAGAAATCTGAACCATATAATGATAATGAAAACTCAACTGTATGATTCTAAATTATAAGGAGGAATTTTATAGTAGTGAGAAATTCGTTTCTAATAAAAGTTTTATATAGGCCATGGACTGTAACTCCAGTTAGGTGAATTTACTTCACATGTTTCCTAAAGCTAAGTTAGTTCTGAATCCTACTTCTCAGGTAGTTTCCCTAGATATCTCACATTAAAATTTAGAGGAAATCAGTTGCATTCTCTTATGGAATGTATTTTATGGGATATTTTGAAATGTCCATATGGTAGATTTCTGAAAATCCTAAAACTATAAGTTCATATGGACAGCAACTAATATATAACTGTATTATTGAATAATAAATATTTCAAACCCTAAGTTCATGATTGCATTTAAAAAATACTTAAAGAAATAACCATTCTCAATGAATGAAATGCATTTTGAAATACCTACAGATCTGGTGCTCCACACCTTTCAAGAGACTTGTCAACATTTTCTCTGGAACAAAGTCAAGAATCAGGAAACAAGGGTGTGTGAAGAGCTAAACCACATATAAGAGATCAGTGCACTGAAGCTTATAATTAAACAAGAAGGCCCAATTCACTCTCATTCAAGGGGTGTTTGTTTTCCTAATCATATATATAAACTGCTACAAAAATATTTAGTAGGAATTGGAAGAAAGTAGAAGAAAGAATATAAGAAGGAATACAGGAAGTATAAATGACAGCAAGAACCCTGGTTGACGTTGAGGGTAAAATAAAATATTAAGAACAAACATGAGAACTGAAAACACCAAATATTGGGGTCATTTGGTGAAGGTGCCAATGACCCTACATTTTCCAAAATACCTGGAAAACACCACAATATCAACTGTATATTGATTGATATCTATAGTGATTCAAGAGAAATTGGTGTTAAGTTTGAGAAAGATTTTTGTAAAAAGGAAAATTTAAGAAGATTTTTATAATTTATTGATGAAATAAGAATATAAACTATTCAGAAAATTCATCTACTGAGAAACACTTATTTCCAGGGAATTGTGGATGGTTCTCACACTGCTGAGAATATTAAAAGAAAACTTTTGCTTGTGAAACAGGATTATAGCTGAAGTTTTTTTGTGTTTTCTTTTTTTGACAGGCAGAGTTAGACAGTGAGAGAGAGAGAGAGACAAAAAGCTCTTCCTTCCGTTGGTTCACCCCCCAAATGGTGCGCTGTGCCGATCCGAAGCCAGAAGCCAGGTGTTTCCTCCTGGTCTCCCATGCGGGTGCAGGGCCCAAGTACTTGGGCCATCCTCCACTGTCTTCCTGGGCCACAGCAGAGAGCTGGACTGGAAGAAGAGCCACCGGGACAGAACCGGCGCCCCAACTGGGACTAGAACCAAGAGTACCAGCGCCGCAGGTGGAGGATTAGCCTAGTGAGCTGCAGAGCTGGCCTGAAGATTGGTTCTTAGTAAAGAAAGCACACTCTGGGAAATAGAATGCTTTTAAAAAAACACCTGCTAGTATTTATCAAAGAGTGATTAGTTGGTTCAATTTCTTGAAGCATGATACAGTTAAGCCAACCATTGTCTCAGGATTCTGCCACGTGGAAAAGATGTGTTCTACTAATATAATTCATATTGTAGTGTTGGTCAAAAGCTCACCAATGAGTACTGGGTCAAGCTTCAATCTTCTACTAAAACTCTTGATACAGAGACAGGACTATTACTCTTGTCTAGGAATTTTCTTGGTATTATTCTTTCTACTATTTCTATATAATTTGGAATTTTACTTAAATTAAGGTTTAAAGTAAGTATTTAAAATATTTTTCATGCCTACACAGTTTGCTAGGTTGAGTGTATCATCATAAATGAGGTGTTTTTGTGTGAGAAATTATTATTTTTAAAACAAATGAATCATACTCTTAAATATATATATATATATAATTTATGAGCATTAGACTTTATAAGGTATTTCATTTGAAACTCTTGCTTTAACATGTGAGGCATATCTTTGCTTTTACAAGAACAGAACTGGATTTTTCCTTCCAGAGCTTGCGGGAGGGAGCTATCATGTGGTCATCTTTGCAGTTTTGTGTTTGGTGCACATACTCTAATGTTATCTTTTCTTTGCTGTTGTCTTAATAGTTGATGGCAGTGATGATAAAGTACAGGATGCTGTCAAGTCCACTTGTGTGAGGTATCACTTGCATTGCTCTACTTCATCTTTTTCTTAAAAATTTGAATCACATGAACATTAAATACTGTATATATGTGCTGTTTTGATTGTTGTCATAAAATAGCTTAACAAGATCATGTAAACAGTTAAAAATTAGTTAATGAAGCTGAAATTGATTATGTAACTTGTGTTAATGATTGATGTGATTATCTATTGTAAAGGGATGTGGTATTGTATAAATATAGTGGGTATTGGGGCCGAAACTGTGGTATGGCGGGTAAAGCTGCCGCCTGCAGTGCGGGCATCCCATATGGACACCAGTTCGAGTCTCGGCTACTCCACTACTGAATCAGCACTCTGCTATGGCTCAGGATAGCAGTAGAAGATGGCCCCTG